ACCAAAGGTGGAAGTGAAGGGAACATGTGGGTGGTGATCAGTCCTACTTTTGTGACTGGCCCTTTCCTAAATGCAAGCTTTAAAAAGTCAGATAGCTGAGTTCAGATCTGTATGAAGGTGGACCGTGAATTTTGCCCTGATAAGCTTGTCCCCAGTTTTCATAAATGAGAACATTGAACTAACCTTATAAATTTACCGTGAACATTAAATGAGAACATGAAAGTGAAATGTTAGGCAACATGCAGTCACAAAGTAATTAATGAATGAAATGTATTTTATTGTATCTCATTGCTATTATTACAGTTATTTGAGGATGTAAACTATTTTTCCATTCCCCCCCCATGAAGGTCTACCTAATCCACTTAATGTATCTTAAAGAGACTATAGAGATAAAATATTTAATGAAATTATCCTTTGATAAAAGTATGACTATGTTTAGGAGAACAAGGTTTAAAATACAAAAAAAATCAAGCTCCATTACAAACTCTGAAGCATGGCAAATTCCTCAGTTAGCATTTCCTCTAAAGTCTGTAGATTCCACTTTGAAAGACCCCTGGGAACCTGCAGAGCTGGATCTGTCCCATGCTCCCAAAGAAGAATGATCATCTTCTTTAGATCATTCTTCTCTTTATTCCACATGAGATAGGAAAACAGTTCCAACTAAAATGCTATTAAAAAAAAAGTTATGAAAGACAGGTTCAGATTAAGCAAAGGTAAAATTACAAAGGTAAAAAAAATTAAACAGTTTCTTTATTTTTATTTTTTTATTAAATTTTTGGGGTGACATTGGTTAATAAAATTATGTTTCTTTTTTATTAAATTTATTTGGGTGACAATGGTTAGTAAAGTTGCATAGGTTTCAGGTGCACAATTCTGTAATACATCATCAATATATCACATTGTGTGTTCATCACCCAGAGTCAGTTCTCCTTCTATCCCCACATATTTGACCCCTTTTTCCTTTTCTACCACCCCTACTCATCCCTTACCCTCTGGTAACCACTAAACTGTTCTCTGTGTCTATGAGTTTTTGCTTGTTTGTTTGTTTTGTTGATTTGTTGCTTTCAGTTTTATATCCCACATATCAGTGAAATCATATGGTTCTCAACTTTTTCTATCTGGCTTACTTCTTTTAGCATGATAATCTCAAGATCTATCCATGTTGTTGAAAATGGCACTATTTCATCTTTTCTTACAGCCAAATAATATTCCATTGTGTATATATACCACATCTTCTTTATCCAATCATCTTTGGAAGGACACTTTGGTTTTTTCATGTCTTGGCCACTGTGAATAATGCTGCAATGAACATAGGGGTACATATATTTTTATGGATAAATGTTTTCAGATTTTGGGGGAGGAATTGCTAAGTCATATGGTAATTCTATTCTCAATTTTTTGAGGAACCCCCACACTGCCTTCCAAAGTAGCTGTACCAATTTACATTCCCACCAAGCAGTGTACAAGGGTTCCTTTTTCTCCACATCCTCTTCAACACTTGTTATTATTTGTCTTGTTGATAATAGCCATTTTAACTGATGTGAGGTGATATCTCATTGTGGTTTTGACTTTCACTTCCTTAATAGCTAGTGAAGTTGAGTATTTTTTCATATACCATATTTTGCTGTGTATAATGCACACTTTTTTGCTCAAATTGTGAGGGAAAAATAAGGATGCACATTATACATGGGTGTTACTAATTCCATATCTATATAAGTGTTTTTAATTTTTTAATTTATGTTGATGAGTTAAAAGTGTAGCTCTAGAAATCAATAATGATATCTGTATGCAAAATAATACCCTGGAATATAATTGGTTTTATTGAACTTACAAAGAACTTGTAACAATGAAAAGTTCTTGGCCTATGATGCATAAATATCATAATATTACGGGTACATAAAATTTCTTGTGCTTTGTATCTGTTCTTGTGTTTTGCATTTGTTACATAAAATTTCTTATACCATAATGTTAAAAAATAAATGCTAAAATTTCTTTATAATACAAAAACAAGCACTTAAATGTAAACAAATAAAAATTTGAATTAAAAAATGAAAATGAAAGATTTTTTCCCTGAAAGTTTGGGCCAAAACTGTGGTTGCTCATTATACACGAAAACACATTACACACGGCAAAATACAGTATCTGTTGGCCATTTGTATGTCTTCTTTGGAAAAGTGTCTGTTCAGGCCCTCTGTTCATTTTTAAATTGTTTGGGTTTTTTTTTGTGGTTGAGTTGTATGAGTCTTTTATATATTTTGGATATTAGCCCCTTATCAGAGGTGTTGGTTGAAAATATCTCCTCCCATTTGATTGGTTTCACCTTTGTTTTGTTGATGGTTTCTTTTGCTGTTCAGAAGCTTTTTAGTTTAATATAGTTCCATTTGTTTATTTTTGCTTTTACTTCTCTTGCCTTTGAGGACAAATTCATAAAATCCTCTTTGAACCAAGGTCCATAAATTTAATACCTATGCTTTTTTTAATGCAATTTATTGTTTCAGGTTTTTTTTTTAAAGATTTTTATTGGGGAATTGGGGGGATGGGAACAGTGCTGGGGAATTGGGGAAAGGGGAACAGACAAGTTGCTGTCGTTTTGTTCTTCAGTCTAGTTGTGGAGGATGTTGCTTCACTGGCCCAAGTTGGCACCATCATTGCGCTCTTCTCTGGCGAGGCAGATCAGTCGCTGGCTTCTGGACAGCCGCTCACTGCGGCTGCTGGCCGCTCACGCTGGCTGCTGGCCACACACGGTAGTCCATGGCAATCCACTGCCACAGGGACTGCAGCCCACGCCGTCGCCGGCGACTCATAGGCAGCCCAGCTCCAGGTTGAGCTGTTGTTCAGCATCTTAGCTGTGGAGGGCAGTGTTACTGGCCCTCATATGTGGGATCCGAACCGGGGCCCTCTGGCATCCCAAGCGAGTTCTTAACCATCGCGCCACTCGGCCGGCCCTGTTTCAGGTTTTATATTTAGGCCTTTAATTCATTTTGAGTTAATTTTGGTGTATGGTGACAGCAGTCAGGTTTCTTTCTTTTGCATGTGGTTTTCCAATTTCGCATGCACCATTTATTGAAGAGGCTTTCAAGTGTACAATTCTATAATACATCATCTATATTTTGCATTATGTGTTCACCGCCTGAACTCAAATCTCCTTCTTCTAACATTTTATTTTAAACTATTATCTTACAGTTGATTTTGTATTTAGTTGCTTAGTCTTTGGAGAACACATAAATCTAAGCATGGATTTAAATTTATAAATATATAAATTATTCCCTTTGCAAAACCAACAGCCTCTTTAAATGTGCCAAATTTATTGGTGGAAATTGTTGCAGTTATATACTCATCTACCAGTAAAATATAAGAAATATATCCTGAACACCCAAATCCTAAATTTTGTAACCTATTTTCTATCCTTTTTTGGATAAAAATTACCTAATAGAAAAAATGTTTCAGATTTTCAATGACATGATTCCACAAATGGAATTGGAATATTTTGTTACTATGTATAACTAAAACAAAGAAAGAAATAAAATTACAACTCAAACCAATGGGTGTAGTGGAAGTGATGTATTACATAAATATCCAGCTTAATGAAATGTTAATTTTTTAGAAATGAATGAAAACAGATTTGTCAGAAAAAAATAACAAGTAACCCAACATATTTTATTTGAAATATTTCAAATAGTTTTATGAACCTCATATACTATTTACTAGAGAACCACCAACCACCAAGTTCTGTTTGCTTTGGAAACTTCTATTATTTTTTTCAAAGATGAAAAAGATAGTTCACAAAGGAAGATACACACAGACAACGAGCCATTGCAAAAGTCCTGAACATCATTAGCTATTAGATAAATGCAAATTGAAGCAGAAATGAGCTAGTACACCCATACTAGAATAGCTAAGATGCAAAAGGTTGACTTTACCCACAAATGCCAGTTGGAGCAACAGGTACTTGTGCTTTGCTGGTGGAAGTGTAAAATCAAACAACTACTTTGAAAAACAGTTTACTAAAATGTTAATTGCATGTCTATCAAAAGAAGTAAAAACATAATGATCACAAAAAAGGAGATTAATAGCAGTGTTAGTCATAACAGTTCCAGACTGAAAAGAACCCATATGTCCATAAACAAAATAGTAGGTAAACAAATGATAATATATTCAGAAAATAGAATATTACTTAACAATAAAAAAGAGCAAATAACTGATACATGTAAAATTTGAAAGGATCTTTAAAAACATATAAAACTGAGGGAAATAAATAACATAAAAATACCCACTATAGGGCCAGCTGAGTGGCTCTGTTGGTTAAGAGCTCACTCAAGATTGTGAGCTCTGAGCAACAGGGTCGCTGGTTCAATTCCCGGCCCGAGCTGAGCTGCCGCTGAGCTGCCAACAGGTAGCAGAATGGCTCAGCTAAGAAAAAAAACAAAACAAAAACAAACAGAAAACCTACTAAAGGTTTCATTGATATGAAATTCTGAAAAACTAAAGGAGAGAGATATCAGTCCAGTGGTTGTGTCTGGGGTTCATGTATCACCGGAAAAAGGCATGCAGGACCTTCCTGGAGTTTTGTAAGTTGTGTCTCTTGATAGTGAATGTGAGTTACAAGTACATATATTATTGAAACTGAATGAAATATACACTTAAGATGTAAGCCTTTTACTGTTTGTATATTATACCTCAATTAAAACAAATTTTAACAATTAATCTGCACAATTGCTTGACTACTTAGCTCATCCTTTGAACAAATATTTATTGTGGGGTGTGATATAGACACACTTTATTACAGATTTGTGATTCACAGATTTTTAACAACCCACAACTTGATTTATATATGACAACCTAGTCAAACGAACCCAAAGTATGGAGATCCTTATAAAATTCAAAGTAAAATAGGATTGAAAAAACCAGATGTAGATATAAATACATATATACCTTCTTTCTATGAAATCCCACACTCTCAGTTTGTATGGCTTTGACATTTGGGGCAAATCGATGTAATCTTAGTCATGACTTAAGGCAGCACAGTTACCTAGACACTTTCTCAGGGCCCCCTTGACCTCGCTGTTCCTCAGACTGTAGATGAGGGGGTTCAGCACAGGGGTGAAGATGGTATAGAATGCTGACACCACCTTATCATGGTTGGCCACCCTGTAGGACGTGGGTCTCGTGTAGGTAAAAATGGCAGCTGCATAAAAGAGTCCCACCACACACAGATGTGAGGAGCAGGTGGCAAAAGCCTTCTTGAGGACTTCTCCTGAATACATCTGGAGAACAGCAGAAAGGATGAGACATAGGAGGTCATGATGAGGGAAAAACCAAAAGCATCAACACACAGCAGATGTACATGTCATTTTTGAAGACAGACGTGTCAGCACAAGCCAAACGCACCAGAGTGGGGACCTCACAGAAGAAATGGGCCATCTCATGAGTACTGCAATATGGGAAGCTCAGGGTAGCAGCAGCCTGCATGAGCCCATCAAGCTGCTGCCAGGAACCAAGACCCCAAAGTCATTCTCTGGCATAATGACCAGCTCATGAGGATGTGGTACCTCAGTGGGTGGCAAACAGCACCGTAGTGGTCGTAGGACATGGTTTCTAAAAGGAAGCTCTCTCCGCCACCCATTGTGAGCGAGACAAAGATCTGTAGCCCACATCCAACTGGGGAGATGGACTTCTTGCCAGTCAAGTAGTCAGCAGACATTTTGGGCACAATGATGGCAGCCAGCAGCATGTCCATGAGGGAGAGTTGGCTCAGGAGAAAGTATATGGGAGTGTGGAGCTGGGGGTCCCAGTGAATCAGGAGAAGCATGAGGGCATTGCCCACTAGGGAGGAGAAGGCAATTGTCAGGACCATCACAAAGAGAAGTAGTTGGGGTACTGCGTGCTCGAACAACCCTAGGCGGATGAAGTCTGAGGTGGTGTTTCTCATGTCTATGCCTTCTGCTGGTGTGACACTGCGAGTGAAGGAAGAGATGAGAGAATGTTCACTGTATTTAAATGACTACTCCTTGAAAGGCATTTGTGTGAAAATGATGAAACCTGGTTTAGATCCTTCATCTGATTTTGCAAAAAATTTTTAACTTGGGCTGGAGTATGACTCAATAGCTGAAGTTGCTCTTCTGGGAGCCATGTAGAAAAGGTAGGGGCTGGGTAGGCAGTCACACACTTTTCTGGGTCACAGCTGCAAGCTGGCTATTTCCATTTCTTGGGGGTTGCTGCACCTCTGTAATCTGAGACTACTACATTCAGGGACGAGTTTAAGACCCTGGAAGGGCAGGGGTGGGGTCCTGGTAATGGAGTTGTTTTTGCTTTCTGTCTGAGAGAGCCCAGCCACAGTTTTGAGCTGAGGCTTCTGCCTCAGACACTGGGCACCGCTGTGCTCTATGCTGAACTCTCGGAGGGACTGCGGGGCATAGGGAGGGATTCCATCACCTTGCTGCTGTAACAATCTCTGGTCTGCTTACTGGGGCCCCGTGTTGCTGCAGGTGCGAATGTGGGCTGCATCTCCGCATGCCTCTTTTCCCTGTTCTCCCACTTGCCCGGTTTGCCCACCTTCAGGAAATCATATGAGTCTCTTAGTTGTTCTGTGTGATGAGCAGAGGTTCCTTTGATGAGTTACAGCTGTTCAATATATGGTAAATTCCAGGAGAGAACTCAGGGAGCCCACCTCACTGCCGCCATTACTCAAATTAATCCCATTTTGAATGAGCCATCCTGCCTGAGGGACATCAACTTTCCACAGATGGAAAAAGTAAACTTTAGTAATAATTGGCTATCTTTAAAGTTATAAAAATAAATCATAAGACTCATAAATGAAACTCTGCTCTGTTGTTTTCCAGTAAACACTCTGCTGCTTGGAGAAGAAATAAACCATTCTTCAACCCGTGATTATCTCTTTGATTAAGTAGATAAGAAAACTACTTATGTATAGTACCAGGTGGATACTAGGCTAATCAGGGGGAATCGCTTCATAAATTATGTAAATGTCTAACCACTATGCTGTACAACTGAAACTAATATAAAACAACATTGACTGTCAACTGTAATTGAAAATAAATTTTTTAAAAAAGAAACCTAGTCATAAAATTAGTGTCATTATTTTTGTTATCTTTTGTGAACATCAATGATTAGAAAGTCTCACACTATCAAGTGAGATTTGAGCAATAAAAATATATGGTGCCCATTAACATTTCCTAGATGGAAAGAAACAGGTTCTGATTTAAAAACAGACATTGGTTGATGAGATGTCCCTATACCATTTGTACAGAAACTTTACTCCAAGGGGGAGGGCAACTTAGCCGGATGGTGTTAACAGATAAAGTAGCCCCAGTGTCCTCATGGCCCCTAGAGCAACCCTATGCTTGCTTCTATTTCTTTTCTTTTTCTAAATTCTATTTTAGTTTTCTACAATTCTTAAGGTGACCTGGCTTTACAATAAAAGCACATTCCTCTACAGGAGTTTCCCTAGCAAACCTTAAATAATTCTGTTGTTTTGCTCTCAGAAACCAGAAGGTGCATTAATAGGAATAAATCAGAAAAAACAGAATTATATGTTCTAACACTTAATTTAAATTTCTTTGGGAACTCAACAGGATCCTAGAGAGGGTTGGGGGAATCTTTAGATTTCTTAGTTCTGCCTGCATACAACCATGGAGTCCCCTCTACCCAAGACCAGCTCCCCTCTCAAAAGGGAGCTGCAACAGAGGTGCAGAAGAGAGAGAGACAGAGAAAAAAAAAAGAGAGAGTAGGTCCGGAGAAGTAAAGCACATATTGAGACAGTTGAAGAGGAAAAAGTGGGGTGTTGGCATTTAGCAGCTTCAGAAACCTTTAATTCAGAGACAGTCTCTAAAACGTTCTTACTAACTTCCTGGAGAGAAGAACATCTCTCTGGACCATTTCAGAGGCTTCTATTTGTCAATAGAGGGAAGCCTTCCATTCTGTTTAGTTTGACCTTTAAGCCAGCTTTTTCTAATTTTGCACACAAATATTTGGATGTCAAAAGAGCTCCATATTGGCCATTTTAAGTTGATATCGCCTCTAGATAAATCTTTCCATGTCAGTAAGTACTTGCAAAACTCCTAAGAACTGTACATCTATCTGCAGGAAAATAATGGCGCTGGAGTCTGGGAGCTTGTTGGCCTTTGAAGCACGATTTCCCATGTTAATTTTTAGATTTCTTTTGAGATCTGCAGAGCCTGAACATAGTGATATTATGTAGTGGGTTGAAGTGTGCTATTTATGGGTTGAGCTCCAAGAGGCTGTCACTTCCTGAGTCGCTTCAACTCCCTTACGTGTCTTGGTTTCTCTTCCTGGCTGTCTAATACAACCGTGAGGACTCAGAGCGCTAGGTAACCAGCCTTTACGTGCACATTCCCAGACGAGTTCAATATTTAATTACAATTGTGTTGGAATTCCCTATGGGGCCACTGCACCTTTTGAGGGCTACCCTCAAACACCTCCACAAAGATTCTTAGTTACCTAAGAATACCCAAAATTTGAGCTGGAGGGAGTAAATGCCCCATATCTTTGGAGTTGAACAAGTTCAGACTCTCATCCGGTGAATAGTTTTGTTCAGACTTGCAGTAAGCAATTCCAATTGAAAAGCCAAAATTAAAACCAGCCACCTAGGGCTGGCCAAGTGGCGTGTTGGTTAAGAGCTGGCTTGGGACACCAGAGGGCCCCAGTTCGGATCCCACATATGAGGGCCAGTGACACTGCCCTCTACAGCTAAATTGCTGAACAACAGCTCAACCTGGAGCTGGGCTGCTGTGAGTCGCTGGCGACGCCGTAGGATGCAGCCCCTGATGCAGTGGGTTGCCACGGGCTACCACTGATGCAGTGGTAGCCAGCAGCCAGTGTGAGCGTCCAGCAGCTGCAGTAAGCAGCCGTCCAGAAGCCGGTGACTGATCTGACTCGCTGGGGAAGAGTGCAATGTTGGTGCCAACATGGGCCAGTGAAACAACATCCTCCACAACTAGACTGAAGAACAAAGCAACAGCAACTTGTCTGTTCCCCTTCCCCCCAATTCCCCAATAAAAAATCTTTTTAAAAAACCAGCCACCCATTTCATTTCTTCTCTCCAAGAGTTACCTTAACTCTTATCTTTAACCTGGGTTATCTCAACCCTGTCACATCGAGGATTTTAAAACAGCTCAAATAAAGTCAGGGCTTCCTACCTTAAAACAGGGAGGTCCAGAATTCCAAGAAAAACTCACCTAAGTTCACTTGATGGGAAGCAGAGAGCTGGTGGGGCACAATGGGCCCCTGCTGGTACCGAGCACCGAATCCAGGTCTGCATGGTGTTCCTCGGTGGGCTTCTTTGGAATCCTGCAGACTACACCAAGTAATGTTGACAAAAAACATCCAGCCTAAGAGAAAACTTATAAGAGTTTATTTGAACTAAACTGTCGACAATTGCCGGGAAGCAAAATCTCAACGGATTGAGAAAATGCTCCGCAAAATGGTGGTTTGCAGCTTATTTTATACATAAAATCAAAGGAGGAAGGTTACATGAGATCCATTGGTGACAGATTAAGGGGTGGGAGAGAGCAAAGCGGGGAAACCTCTGGGACTGGATAAAAGTAAATTGGAGAGACAGGTACTTCCTTTACATAGGTGGGTGCAGGATAGCTAACAGTTAGCTTTTTACAGAACAGAGGGATGGTAATCAGGAGATAAGCATAATAATGAGGAATTTTGCAGTTTTCAGCTCTGGTCTGGAAAAAGGATTAAAGATGTTATCTTAGGTGCAGAAAAACAGAAAAGCTCACTGAAAAGACATAGACTAACTTTATAAAGGAAGATAAAGATATGACTTCCCACCATGGCCCATTTGGTTATGAAAGTTTTTATGCTCACGCCATCTTATGTGGTTATTTTCAATCTCCTGAGCTTGTCAGGTTTAACCTGTGGCCCCTTTTCTGTTCACACTTTGATCGGCTTTTTCAACTTATTGTAGTCCCCAAACCCATTATTTAGAGTATGATTCAAACCAATTAATTATTAATAGGGGCACTTATGCTCATGCTTTTTGCCTGTCATAGCCATGGATACATGGTCTGTAATTATGGGATGTAACACACTAAAACAGGAGGTAGATGGATAAAGAGCTTGACAGCATAGATATTATGGCAGGTGTTTCTTTCCTAGTAGCCATCATTTTGTCTTGGAATTAAATTGTGTAGCTTCACAGGGGAGGAAAGGGGTGGCCAGAGGCTCTTTGTTGTTTGTTTGTTGTTATTGTTTGGCTGCAGTGAGTGTCCCAATGGATGGCAGGAAAGAAAAAACACCCACCCATCATGAGGTTGAAGTGGAATGAGCAGGTGAAGTCACTGTTTGCCATCAGTTCTGAGTCCCTCATCAACTTCTTGTGACTTTGGATAAAGTATTGTAAATAAAGCACTTCATAAAGTAGTAGGACTAATAAACCTTCCCTGGATGGGGGATTTCGTCATTATTACTTGCCGCCAGTGCTCCTTCTCTCCTTCTCCCTGTAACCAGAGCAGGAAGGGTCCCTCCTCTTAGAGGACACTGATTTCCCATGTGTGAGCTGTGGAACTGCCTCCCTTTCCCCTTTATCTTCAGTCCTTCCCTGTTTCCTACACCCTTGGCATCGGCAATTAGACATACTCTAGTGTCATGACTCAGCAGTTCCTTGCTCAGTTACTGCTTCATTCATGCATTCAAAAACATGTCATGAGAACATAATGCCCACCAGCCCCAGATAGGAGGCATCAGCAAGGCTCTGCCTTCATGGAGTTCATGCTTTGGAGGGACCTTGTTTTCTTTCTGATTGGGAAAAGCTCTGTTTTTATTAAGGACAATAACTTCTAGTGGTTCTTCTTTTGTTGTAATTTAGTTTTAAATTTTTCTTTTTTTTTTGTTATTTGTCTTCGAATGTGGATTTTCTTTAGTCCACACATTCTATTAACTGTGTTATTCCTCTTTTAATTATGCTCTCAGAAGACTTCATCCTCAACACCTTCAACTAACAGTTTTTTTAAGAAAAAAAATTTCTTGGGACAGGGCTCACTCCCTGTCCATCTCTAACTCTGGGTGCTTTATAGTTCTCTTCATTCTCAGACAAGTACTTTAAAATGGAAGAGTGATCTCATCTTGTCTTATTAACTCTTCAGCGCTGAGAAATTGGGCTCCTTCTCTTAACACTGTCCTGAACATGCTTTGACAAAGGTTTTCAGTGTTCTTGGGATGGTCACGTCTTATCCACTGGGCATTTTACAACTCCCTTTATTGACTCTGACATGGGTACTTCTTCCTTTTGGAAACTGTCAAATAGTCTCTCTCTGTACCTCCTTCTGTCACCTCTTTTTTTTTTTTTTTGGTCCCTCATTAAGCATTTTGTGTCAGCTGACCATATCAGTATTTGCTTCTTTGGCTTCATTCCCTGGAATAATTCTATCATCCTGATGGTTTTAACCACTTTATTAAAGCAATTCCCAAATAAAAAGACTATCTCCAAACGGAGCTCCAACTTGACATGTTCAAATCAAAATTTAGAGTTTGCAACCTGGCCTCAAATATGGGGTCGGGCAATTAAGTTCTCGAACTAATCCTAGAAAAAGTGCTACATACCTCATTGCTGATTATCACTATGGTCACCTTCGAAGTACTTCCTTTGGGAAGCTATGCACTGATGCCAGCACCTAGTCCACCCTTCAAAG